CACATGCCTAGGTTGCAGGCCATGATCCCCAGCAACCACACATTGATGTTTCTCTCTCTCTCTCTTTCTCCCTCCTTTCCCTCTCTAAAAATAAATAAATAAAATCTTTTTTAAAAAAGAGTTCCACAGATACATTTCAAAAAAAAAAATTCCCCATCCCTTCGGTATGTGCGGCACTCTCTCCTGTAATGGCTAGGCCTCATTGTCCTTAAGGGTTTCTTCTTTCTCAAATAATGCCTTGTTATGTTCCTGCCACATCACTGTTTGTTGGTAATTCTGCTTGTGATTTGGGAGTTCTTCAACAGGCCTTTTTTTTTTTAACTTTATAAAATCTTCCATGTTCTGGAAAATTTGAAAATTTACTTTATAATCAACTTACAAAGTATATTTGTAAGAACGTATTTTACAAGAATCAATGAGAGACTTGTCCTGATGTCGACAAAGACGCTAGCGGTAAGTGAGGGCTGATTTTTGAATGGGGACTGATTTTTCCAAGTGGTCGATTTAGTAACAAGTATGTTCGTGCGGCTGTGAATTTACAATCTCTAAAACCTGGCAAATCTGTGGAGACTCCACACATAAAACCCAGATAACAAAGACTCCCTGGCCTTCTCTTTTCTTTTTTTTTTTTATACAACCCCACCCCCATCCCACTAAAGAAACTCATTGAGATCGTTTCATCTTCTTTAAGCAAATACCGTAGAAATAACTAAATAACATCAGTAGAATCCCTTTGGAATGTTGCTGTAGGAAAAGGATGGTGTGTAGGACTGAAGGGTTTCTAGCTGCATCAGGGACTTGTTTACTGAAGATGGGCCCCCATCATTCAGAAAACGAGGAGAAAGGACGGCACCTTGACTCCAAAGAGCCTCCGTGTGGGAGAAAATCAACCAGCGTTGCATGACTATCATTTAACCTTCCCAGGAGCAGAGACCTGGAATTTGCCCTTTCAAAGTCTCTTCCAAGGAAGTCTTGAACCAGTGTTGAAGGCAATTAGAGTGACAAAATAAATAAGAGGCTGTCTTGTCTTGCAAACACAACGGGTTATTCGGAGGCTGTGGTTAGAGAGCTACCCATTAGACAAGTTTTCTGAGCCCAGTGTTGGGGCCCACCCACATCCTAAGCTGCCCGCCTCTCTTTAAGAGAATGGCTCTTTCCCACAGCAACTCACTCCAGTCCCAGCCCACCCACTAGGACTGTGCTTGATACTCCGATACTCCGAGGTTCCGCAGTGACTTCAGGGAACAGACTGCTGCTACAGCTGTCTCCTGGGTCCTTTGCTCCTGCACCTGGTTTCACACCTTCACATTGGCTTGTCTCTGGGTGAATGTGGCCGCCTACTTCAGTGTCTCCATCAGTCCCAGCTTCAGTGCAAACACAATGGGACTTCAGCCATGGATACGGTCACAGTAGTTACTATTTGCAGGTAACTCAACAAAGCATTCCTCTTGCTTAATCTCTGGAAATCACCCATGAGCAGCCCCAAATCTGCTCATTTTCCTGCAACAGAAATGAAGTTTTGTCTCTCATAGGTTTGTGTTTAAAAATGGAAAGCCAGTCAAAGACAAGGAGTTGGATTATAGGGTTCCATATACTGTTAAGCATCCAGACTGGATGCTTAAATTTTAATTACTTATTGATTTATTGATGTGATTTTTCCTAAAAACGAAAAATGGTGTAAATGCATGAAAAATAAGTGATTAGCTCTCTGTGTAAGTGCGTATGCAAGAGTTTCCTGCCAATGATGCCTTACCTTTTACAAGGATATGTTTCCAATAAGTGACTCTAGTTGCTGCCAGCCCTTTAAAACTTCTCACAGTGCAGAAACAGGTGACCGCCATCTCCAACCCTGCACACGTTCTGGAGTGAGCAGCGACCTGACGTGGCAGGGCACAGTCACACTGGACACGTGTCATGGCTACGTGGGAGAGATTTGGATATTTCTGCAGCTGTTCACCCACAGGCAGTCAGCTCTTGAAATCTCCTGGGTTGGTTTTTATTTCAACTGTGTAGTAACTGTGTCACTCTGTCCATAACCTAAGTCTCTTGCCCAGAAAATCATCTTCCTGAGCCCAGTCCTATTCTACTAGCACATTTCATTTTCATTTTTGTTCTTTCTCATTTAAAATAAAAAGGATTCTATGCCCCGGCTGGGTGGCTCAGATGGCGGGAGTTTCATCCCATGCACCAACAAATCAGGGCCTCCATCCTCAGTCAGGATGCGTGCCCAGGTGCGGGTTCTGTTGGGGGGCAACCAATTGACATTTCTCTCTCACACCAATGTCTGTTTGTCCGTCTATCTGTCTCTCTCCTCCTTCCTCTCTCTCCAAAATCAAAAGGCATATCCTCAGGTGAGGATTTAAAAGAATAAAATGGAAAGTACCATATGCAGAGTGGCTATAGCAGACACTGCTGGCTGCCCACTTAAACCCTGCTCCCCTCCTCTTCAGCGATGGAGTGCTGATTTTGTTCACGGGACTCTCTCAGAAACATAATCACTCAGGGGGCAAATCCCAAGGAGTCTAAAGACCACTCTCGTACTCCTTAAAGGTGGCTGGTTTAGAGGCAGGCACATGACCCTATTCAGGCCAGTAAGATGAGAAATTATTGGGGTACTTAAGCGAACTGTTCCCTGGATGCTAAAAGGTGGCACAAGGAATAGACAGTCCCTTCTCTTCTCCTGGTCATGGGCATGCCTGCCCGTGACATCTGGAACTGCTGCTGAAGCAAAACCCACAAAGGAAGACAGGGCCACAGTGCAGTGGGGACAGAGCCCCAATGGACCCTGCCTGGACCCCTGCCTGCCCACGGACAGCCTGCTCTGTGAGATAACAGATCTCCCTGCATTTAAGCTGGTTGGGTCCAGGTTTTCTACTCCTTGTGCCAATGTGTTTTGACATAGTAGCCAAAAAAATAAATCAGCCCATGCCGTGTCCTTTGCTTGGAGGGAGCTTCTGCCCTTGTTCACCTGGTGATTTTGAAGAGTAGCCAAGGTGCCCACTCTTCACGGTGGAAAGAACCACTCCCTCATCCAATTTCCCATGAAACCTTGGGTACACAGCCTGCTGTTTATCCTCTTTACTGGGGCTTCTTTGTGAATTCGTCTTCTCACACTCACATCGGAAGTTCCCCTACCAAAGCGCCAGGAGTGCACCATTCAATAAAATGTATACCAGCAAAGAAGATGCATTCTTGTGCATACTGCTTTATTGGAAAATATGCAGCCAGAGTTACAGACAATAATAGTGGCAGGAATATTTATGGAGGCCATGAAATCAGAAAAGGGGCTGTGAAATCGAACTATCGATGTGTACACACAGAGAAAGTCACATGGATGGCAAATATAAATGACATGTGGCTGAAGTCTTCATATGGGAGTGGGGGAAGGGTGATTGATTTAGGTTGCTGCAGGGAAAAGAGGGGAAAACCAAGAGAGCGTGTCCTTCCTGGGGGTAGGCAACAGGGGCTGTGTGTCATGGAGGAACCTGGTCCTCTCTGGCAAAGCAGGAGCCTGACTGTCTGGCTGCTAGAAATGAAGGCCATCGTCTTCTGTCTCCACTGCTCTCACTTAGTCCTTCAGAATAGTAATTCACCTCTCCTTCCAAGCAACCACATGGGTCTCACAAAGTGGACCCAGCTCTGTTTTGCTTTCTGCTTCTTGACTCATAAACATGACTTTATTCTCCCCAAGGTCTGCCTCTGCTGCTGCTTTGGTTTCGCTGTTCATCTGTTTGGTTAAGGTGTCTGGAGTAACAGCCACACATTTTTGGACTGTGGTTCTGATGTGTTCCCCCACCATGCTCAAAACCTTCTGCCCTCTCCCACATGTCGTCAGTTCCTGCGACAGTGCCTTTACGACATCTTTCCCCTCTGCACCCTCCTCTGTACTTGTACGATCCACAGGAACTCAGATGCCACAGGTTCAAAACTAAAATCATCCTTCCCACCTTCGGGTTTAGAATTACTCTCCAAAGACAAAAATGTGGGAAATATTTCTTCCTCCCTTTCTCTATCATTTACTAGCTCTTTGTTCATCTTTATTAGTATAGCCACAAGGGACTATTTTATGTATATTTATGTAAATATACATATAGAACATATAAATATATAGATATAGAGACAGGTAGATGATAGGTAGGTAGGTAGGTAGGTAGGTAGATGGGAAGAATTTAGTCCAGAGTTCAAGGTGGGACGAACATACCCAAATACTGTGATCAGGAGAGTTTCGTTCTGCCTTCTGGCCCACACCAGTATCCAATTAGTGTCAAATCATCCAGTTTGCCCAGAAAGGCAGCAAACAAGTAAGAGCATGAGCTTCTTATTTTTGAAGTTTCTGATTTTCCGCTGCAGCCCTCCTTTCCATTTACACCCTTGGTTTACTTCCCTTACCTGATAATAGGCCAGCCTCTTCCTGCCAAGTAATTTGGAAGCTCCTCCAGGACCCCTGCCATTCCTTTCTATACCCAGTCATGAGCTAGCGCCTGGCCCAGAGTGGGGGTTTACCTCCTATCTGATGAACAATTCAATGAATTTTTTACATCATTTATACGTTTACTTACCTTGTCTATAAGGTAAGAGGCTTTTAACCATAACGCTCTGTATGTTCACGGTAGGAAAGCACTGGATGTATTTAAAGCCCGTTGCTTTGTTGCTCCTTTTACTCAACAATGAAGGAGGCGCCTGCGTTCTGTGCGACCCGCCTCGAGACAGGTGCGCCCCGCCCCTCCCTGGGCGGACCGCTTGGGTGGCTCTTTCTGGAAGGCCAGCATTGGCGCCAGCCCCCGCCAAGCATTTGGACGCGTGCCGGGGTTCTGAACGGTGGGGCAAAGGAGTGAGGAGCGTTCTCCCGCATTGTGGGCGTCGGAGGCAGAGCGTCCTCACAACGAACACCCGTGAGAGGGGCTTTCGGGAGACTTCCACGTGAGCGTCCGCACCTAGATCGCGGGACCTCAAAGGCCAGCGGCCGGAGGCCTCACCTGCGCGGCCAGGTGGAGCCGGTCATGGCGCAGCTGTGTGGGCCGAGGTGGTGCCGGGCGCTGCTGGCGCTGCAGGCTTCGCTGCTCCTCTTCGGGGCGGAGGCAGCGGACGGAGAACGGGACGTCCGCGACTTGTGCAGAGTTCCGCAGGTGGTGGGAAGGTGCCAGGCTGCCCTCCGCAGGTGGTGGTACAATGCCACGGGCGGGTCCTGCCAGCAGTTCGTGTATGGAGGCTGTGGTGGGAACGACAACAACCACCTGACCAGAGAGAAGTGCCTTGAGAAATGCGCTAATGTCACGGACAACACGACTGAGGACCTGCCCACCGGCAGGAATGGAGCAGGTTCCTCGGTCCCGGGTGTGCCCAGGAGGCAGGATTTCGAGGACCCCCCCAGCGACATTTTCAGCTACGAAGAACACTGCTTGGCCAGGGCGGTCACCGGGCCGTGCCGCTCCTCCTTCCCACGCTGGTACTTCGACGCCCAGAAGAACACCTGCGATAACTTTATCTACGGAGGGTGCTGGGGCAACAAAAACAACTACCTCTCCAAGGAGACGTGCCTGAGGCACTGCTCCTCCGGGGGCAGGCAGTTCTACTCCGCCCTGCCCTGCAGCACCAGAGCCGTCCTGGAGGGGCTGTTCCTGACCGTCCTGCTCCTCCTGCTGGGAGCCTCGGTGGTCTACCTGATCCTCGCGGCGCGGAGGAACCGGGAGAGCTGCCCCTTTGTCTGCAGCCTCCGGGGCGCCGAGAAGCCCGTGATCAAGAAGGGAACCTGGGGAAGGGGCGGGGTGACCACGGCAGAGTGCCAGTGTGCTGTTTAAAATAGACCGATCGGTTTGCGTTTTTGCGATCTTGAAGGCTTTTGGTCTGTTTCTTGCTTCAGAAGCGAAGAGGGCAGCAGCTTCCAGGCCCCGAGGGGCAGGTTCAGGATGGAAAGGCCTGGCCCCAGACCAGACTCAACTCCTCTTTGATTTCCTTACTCCAGCTATAGACGTCTTTGTTTACGTTAAAACCTTTCGCCTCCTTCCCTACCACCAAGGTGATGTTTTCATAGTTTCCTTTGTTTGTTTGATGTGTGAGGGTTTGCTTGAAGTAAGCAGAAACAAAGTTTTTTTTTATTAGGATTCTGAAAGGAAGAGAGTAAAATGTACAAGCATAATAAAAAGAGACTTACCTTTCAAAACTAAAAAAAAATCAGCAACAACAATGAGTAATTAGCCAAGGACTGTGAATCCCTGATTTCAAGCATCGCTGTCTTCTGCCAACAAACTTTTGTGCTTTGTGCCAGCCACTATGTTGGGCACAAATGTTAAAACAGACTCTCTGCCTTTAGGAAGCACAGAGTTAGTAAGAGGAGGGGGGGAAACAGGACATGAAAACAAGACAACTTTATTATTCATGGATGTCTGAAAAGGGCGCAGTGGTGGCAGGTGGGAAGGAGGGATCCAGGCTTGGATGGGGGACGTGGACAATGGACAGGCAGGAGCAGGGCCACCAGAGGCGCCAGAGAGCTAATCCATAGACGGGCTTGAGCACAATTTCGAGTGTCTTTTCCAGCCATCTTCCGTCTGAGAAGTACAGGGTGTCGTGCGTTGACACATTTTCTATGTCAAGAGAAGGGAGAACTCACTCTGTTATGGAACGTCTCATTGAATTTCTCTGAAAGTTTTCATAACGCATCATCATTCTAGAAAGTATTTTCAGTCTTAAAAAAAAAAAAAAAAGGAAGAAACCAGGCTCTTTCACTCTGAGTAGTAAATGCACTCAGTTCCGTGTGGCAATTAAGCAGCCCCACCCGCTGTACCGGAGTTAGTGCAGAAGTCCCTTCACAGCGTTTCTCAGGACGTCTGAAGCTGTAGCACTGCTCACAGCCACATTTCCAGGGGAGTTTGGAGGCAAGTGGGACTTGATTTAGAAGGCACTGCTTCTGTCAGGATCTTTCCCACGATAGAATAAATCCGCTAAGGCATCAAGAATGTGTATCCAAAAGACCTAGACTAGAATCAACACTCAGGCAAGACAATTCAGTCGCAAATGGCCCAAATTCAGAACCCAGAGCCAGGTGCCCTGATTCTAGGCCGTCCTTAGCTTAGGAGACTTCGGGGGATATCAGCTACCTTTCTGGGGCTTAGATTTTTAAAAATCTGATAATAAATATTTGTAAAACGACTGAATGAATGGATAAAGTTAAGATAAAGATTGTGATACCTGCACCACTTACTTCATAAGAGTTTTGAGCAAGGTAATTAATTACGTTTGAAAAGATAAAGTGTTTCAAGACACTTGCATTCTGATTTTCCAGTCAGTGGTGATAAATATCTCTTTAAGGGCTTCAGAGTCTGAGAATACACAGATTCTTTTATTATTCAAATTAGTCCTTGACCAGGAGAAGAGAAATTATAACTTGAAGAGCAGGTGTTACATTGCACTTCTATTAGATAATTAGCTGGCTAGGATCTCCAAAAATGTAGCCCCCTATGGACAAGACTCAAAAAAAAATTGGAAGTGGAAAACAATGGAAAGTCTTCAATAGCACCAAAATAATGACAATCCTAGCCCCTCGTATTAATCTACTTGGCGTATATAAAATATCTTACATTCTCACATTTGATTATGTACATGTGAAAGGCACTATTTGCTGAAGTAATGGTGTTGGCTAATGCTTTCAGGACAGGACTATGTAGTGAACCAAACATACACTTTGAAACAAAAGAGGCCTGACTTGTATTAGCTGCATAGCCTTAGACAAAGTATTTTATTATTTATTAAGATTTTATTATTTTTTAGAGAGGGGGGAAGGAAAGGAGAAAGAGAGGGAGAGAAACATCAGTGTGTGGTTGCCTCTGGCATGCCCCCAACTGGGGACCTGACCTGCAACCCAGGCATGTGCCCTGACTGGGAATCGAACCAGCAACCCTTTGGTTGGCAGGCCTCCGCTCAACCCGCTGAGCTACACCAACCAGGGCTAGACAAAGTATTTTAAAATCCCAAGTCACAATTTCCAGTCGATGGTGAAATGGATCTAGCCTTTCATACCCAACATCAAAGGTGTCATAAGAAATAAATGAAATTTTCCATATACATAGCATCTGCCAAAGGGAAGACCCTCAGAAATGTTTTAATTCCTGGCCTCGTCCCCAGCATACTTTGTAGAGTGGGGTCTTTCCATATCAGGTGCCATGATAATACTGAAAGAGGACACTCATCTTTTCTGGAAACTCAACATGCCAAAGAAAGCTTTACCAAGGTCTTCTAACCTTATTCTCTTTCCCATGCTTCTTCCTTGATGACTTTTCCTGAAGGCTTGGACCTCATAGAGCATTAACCTGAATCCTTTGAGACTTTCTCTGTAAGATGCGTGTATGTGTGTGTGTGTGTGATCTGACCTCAAACCAGCAGTGTATATGTTCCATTTCTTATGACATTATAAATGTTCACCCAACGTTTCACCTCCCAGCTCTTCTCCCCAGCCTCACACCCCGCTTCCCTCCTTCATTGCCCCTTTACCCTCTGCCAGGTGTTTTAATCCTTGGGTAAAATCCTCCAATGAGAAAAACTAAATATATACAATGAGAATTAATACATAAAGACAAGCTTCTTCTCTTTCATACTCAAGTATGCTCACCTCTGGGAAGGATTTCCTGCACTCTGTCAATCCTCACCCCACCAGCTATCTCCCTTCTTTGTGCCAGAACAGTTTTGTAACATTTGGCACAAGTAATATGCTATTATTTTTTGCATGTCCATTTTCCTCTTGCACTGGGAGATCCTTGGCCCTAGTGTCCACAGGCACTGCACAGATGCTACGCTGCAAGTGAATGAATGAACAGAACTCATGTGTTTTGCTCTACCGATGTATGTTTCACTACCTAGTGGGAATGGCTGTGGGCAGGATACTCTGAGGAGCACCCTGCAGACCAGTGTGGAGAAGACCTGAGCCACCCATGTGCCACGTGCCCTGTCCTTGTGCTGCCTCATCTCTGACCTTCAGCCACCTGTCCGTGTCTGTCTCCACCCTGTGAGCTCTGATTACGAAGAAGGAACCCAACTTTGCCAGCGTTCTGGGTCCTGGTACCATTTTCAAAGTGTTTTTATACAAAGTATCTCGCTGGATTTACAAAGGGATTATAGGATCTTGGGAAGAAAGAAACGTTTTTTCTTTACAGTATGTTTACCTTGGCCAGCGAGAGTGACAGGTGAGAGAAGGAGAGCCAACCTGCAGACTATAGAAGGACGCCTTGCATTTTGGCAGTGTCAACAAAGTCTGTAGTGGACCTATTTATGTGTGCTTCTCACGGTTCCTTCCACACCGATAAGTGAAAACTATGTTGAAAACCTGCCCGAGAGGTGTGTTGATGGTGGCTGGGAATCTATGCCTCTGACATTTTATTGCATCAGTGGCCCAACTTGATGATGATCCTTTGGACAGTGCAATTTCACCCAATGAGATTTTTTTCCTTTCTAGTCCTGCTTATCTTTTTCCTCCTCCTCCTTGGGTTTGATCACCATCATCATCAACACTGTCGTGGCTTTGTTTGTGCCCTTCCTTCCATCCCTCTCCTATCTGGCTAACTCTTACCCAGCTTTCTGGCTCCAATGTCCCCTCTTGCCTTCCTCAGAACCCCTCTCTGTGCTCCAGTAGCATTCTGTTTATTACACCCTTATGGCACTTAACGCTAGCACTGTCCATTCAGTTGGCTAAGTGACTGACTCTTCACCTAACTCAAAGGCAGGTGTTATATGTTAGATATATTTTTATATAAATTATATAAAGCACTTAGAGTGCTGCCTGCAGGCAGTAAAACTCAATAACTACTAGGAGTTATTGTTGTTGGTAACCCCCCTCGCACTGTTATATTCCCCGGCACCTAGGAGGTACTAAGTGAATGCCTATTTTATTGAATTGGAAGATAACGACAACAAAAACACCCTTCACAGAAACCTAATTACATCTTGCCTTATGCTAGCTTGACTTCAGTGCCAATGCTGCACTCATGGTGTGGCAGAGGAGGACAGCCAGAGAGGGGATTGGGAAGAGCAGGCCACAGCTAGCTAGGATATTTAAGTACATTGTCAGCGGACCGCAGTTCCATTCCTGAGGGGCCATGAGGCAAATCTTGACTCACAAAATAGATGGGTCAAGGGGCAGTGGCCTGTACGCTCAACTGTACGTATAAACCAAGGCACAGCCTCCGCCTTGCCACCTTCTCTTCCAAGATCCTTCATATCTCCAGCACATGTTACTCTGGGTGGCTGACTGTTTACTCTTCCAGTTGGAGGGGCTTACCCCCCGCCCCCACAAGTTGGAGCTGACATCATCCCAGGAATAAACATCCCGCGAGGAGCTGGTGTCCAGCTGCATGATGTTTATCTACAACTCTCTTGAGCAACTGAGGCACAAGACCAAATTGCTCTTGCCAGTCTTTTGAGAACTCCAACTTGACCTATAAAAGGAGTGGGTCCCACTGCCAGACCACAGCCTCACCCTGTGCGCCCAGCCAATTTGGCTGCTGGACACCACTGTATGGCAGAGGAGAGGATGGGAGACTAGTCTTGCTAGTAAATTTCTGCTTGTAAATTTCTCCAATAAAATCTGCTTTTGCGTAACACTGAGATGGCTGCCATTACCTTTTGTCCCCATCAAGGACTCCCCTTAATTTCCTCCATAACCATATGAGATAAGTGTCATCGGCCCCTTTTAGCAGTTGAGGAATCTGGAACTCAGCTAATTTAGGTAGCTTGCTCAAGGACTGGGAGTAAGTGGAGAAGCAAGGATCCGAGGCCAAGCTTGTCCGACACCAAAGCCTTCGTGCCTTGGCTA